GAGACTGGTAGACGGCTACAAGAAGCGTCTCACTGAAGTTATTTCAGCCAAAGGGGGTAACACTAGCTATTAGGGAGTAGGGTGTCCTAACTTTTTCCTCAGTTAGAATATGCATTTTTATTGATATCTTTTGTTTAATGAGTAAAACAAGGTTAACTTTTGTTGTTTACCTGCAATTAAATCACCTTCTTTCCCAGAGATAAAGTAAAACAAGATCATACATCGATATGTGAACATTTGTTATTAAAGAACTGAATATTTAATGGGGTGTCCTAATTTTTTCACGACTGTAGATATATTCACTGTATGCTGGGAACAAGGAGCACTAACTCTAGCTTTCACCAGCAAAGGCTTGTCAAAAGGCAAAAGCACTACTTGCAAAAAACAATACAGTTACCCGGAGCACAGACACTAGTGTTAACCAAAAAACAAAACAGTGCTTCCCTCCAACAGCGTCAGCTTATCCACTAAAAATAAAAACAGAGAACTAATCAGAGCCCCGACGCTCTAGGTAACAAAATGAAACCATATGCTGGGGAGGCAGCGTGCACGCAGCCTTCACCAGCGGAGGTTGATTATAACAAACTCAAAATACAGCGGATGCTACCGCTAAATAAACAACAGGCTATACACGCTGGCAACTTGGGAGCAGTAACGCAACCCTCCAGCAGAAAAAAACTCCAGAAACAGAGAATATTAACTCAGAGTAAATCAAGTGCCAGGAAGATGTTGTGCGAACGCAACTTTCACCGACAAGTCTTTAACAAAGTAGGTAATATAACATTAGTTTGCAAACAACTTACGAGTTTCATACCTTCTCCGGAGAGGGAAATGAACCACTGCCTTACCGGCAAAAGGACGCACCGGGTCCACACTGAATCAAATGTAGTTACACTCCTCTCAAGAGGGAAAGAATGCCATCGCAGTGCCTGGAGTGCGAATGTCCGCTGCTCCGACCGAAAATGGCCACGGAACTACTAGCGACGGGATTTAAGTTTGAAATGCAGTTGCAATGCTTCCAAAAGCAACCTGCGCACGAGAAGATGAAAAGGAAATTATCCTCTGATGTCACCGGAAGATATAGTCTCTTTCGGGTCATCCAGGGGTCACAGGGGACATTGTTGGTATACATACTTGAACTGCGCATGCGCGAAGGGGAATATTCAGTGCTTAAAGCACCCCCTCTGGCGGTCAGCAGGGATGAAATACAACCTGGAAATTGAAATGCAAAACTGGTAGAGCTGAAAAGCTGAACTGCATTACCCAAAAAAGTTTAGAGCTGAAAGACATTTCTTGAAAAGCAAGACGCTAAACTGTAATACTGTCAAAGGTGGAATTTAAAATTAACTTACTAAAAGGCTGAATGAAGAAATGCTTTGTATGTATAAAGCATAAAATGTAGAAAAAGATTAATTTAAGTTTCCTGGTTCGATCCCAGGAGGGAGGGAGCCCTTCTGTGTGGAGTTTGCATGTTCTTCCCATGTCAGCGTGGGTTTTCTCCGGGTACTCCGGCTTCCTCCCACAATCCAAAGACATGCAGGTTGGGGTTAGGTTAATTGGTGACTCTAAATTTATCATAGGTGTGAATGTGAGCGTGAATGGTTGTCTCTGTGTTAGCCCTGCGGTAGACCGGGTGACCTGTCCAGAGTGTACTGTGAGGGAAATTCTCCTATCTGAAGAAGTGACAGACTCGGTGAAAGGAATCAAGACTCTTTAATACATGCAGCATGGAGAGAGGACCTAAGTGTTCTCTGACAACCTTCAGAATGTACAGATTTGTATACCAAAGCAAAGCTCTGACTTGAGGTTGCACCCACCAGCTGCACTCATAAAGGAGATTGCCCCCCCCCCCCCCCCCCCCCCCCCCCCCCCCCCCCACACCAAAACCCCCCCCCCCCCCCCCCCCCCCCCGTAATAAAAGGTTTAGCAATACAAGAAACTTGTCCCTACCAAGTGAAAGGTCATGACCTCAAGATGTAGAGAATTGCCCCCCAATACAGATTCTTGAATAATTCCCACAGTGCCCTGCCTCTCGCCCAGTGTCAGCTGGGGCAGGCTCCAGCCCACCCGCGACCCTCAAGAGGATAAGCGGTTATGGAAATGAATGACTGAATTAAAGTCCTTAAACAGCATCTGAAGTCTGAAATTCTAGTACTCTCAATACTTCTGTCACAAAGTAGAGTAGATTGAAGATTTTTCAAAACCCTGTAAGTACAGGTTAAAAAAAAGCTTTAATTTGATCATAACCATAATCATTTAGAGGCTTTTGTTTTGAAAATTCAGCTTTGTCTGGGCCCCCCAGTAAACTAATATCACCACTTCGGGAGTCTTATTTTGAAAATCCAGCCTTGTGCAGGGTCCCCCAGTAAAAACCTCTGTTGCTTTTATTTTGAAAATTTGTGATTAAACACACACAGTCTACAGTCACTCATATTAGTTGGGATCTCCATACTTGAATTACAAATCCAGAGGAAAAAAGTTTCTTTCACTGGCTGCGCTCGATGGTGGGATAGTGAAAAACATTCAATCACTGCCAGGTTAGGAAACGTTTTAGCATGCTCCTTCCACCACCATCAAACCTCCAAAGGATCCACCTTGGGTGTCTTGAACTCCATGTAGGCTGCCACCTCATCCTCGGGCTGCAAAGTTTCATGGCTGGAGTCCTCCATGTCGGTGACCAATGTGACCATGGGGTCAAAGGTTACACTTGTGCCACTGACTTTCAAAATAAAAGGAACTGCAGCTTGATCGTATGTATATGTCAAAATATTACATAAATGCTGCATATCGTTTTCATTTGTTTTATTCTGAAAAATAAAAACTATATGTTTGTCCTCACCTGCTGCCCGTGCACTTGGAGTTCATTTTTACCATTCATTTTTGCTACTGATGTTGATGATGTCATCATCATGTATCTTCGCAGGCCCTGTCCCGGGTCACACCCAGTGGCCTCCAGTCTGCAGCTCCACGGTGAAACCCTCCCCTCCACCTGTGAACCATGGAGGCCTCAACATGCACACACACACACACACAAACACACACATATATAAAGGACACAGAGGACTCCCAATCAATGCACCAGAGTCTAGCTGTGCTTTTTTTTCACTTAACACACAACCAGGAGTGTGTGTGTGTGTGTGTGTGTGTGTGAGAGAGAGAGAGAGAGAGAGAGAGAGAGAGAGCGAGTGAGAGAGAGTGAGAGATGGGTGGGTTCAGTACTGTTTCGTAGCAGCCACCCCCTGCCTCCTTACGGTTGATAAAGCCATGGATTCACTTTTTTATTTTTAGTTTTTTTTTAAACTGGTCTTACTTTTTTTTAGTTCTTTAGCATTAAAGCGTCTCTGACACCAGCGCTGCTGATCAGACTTCACAAGGGTTTGAAACTAGAGAATGACAAGTCTGTTAGCTGTTGAAAATAGTGTGTGGGACATTTCTAATTATGAAAGCAGGAAGACATGATCCATCAAAGCAGTGTTAAAGACTATAAATCCCACAAGTCAACTTCTTTTTTTCTTTCTTTTTTTTCTTTTTCGGTGTCTGAGGTTTAAATGTAAAGGTAGGACAACCCCTTTGTTTCTAAAATGGGACAAAGGGTCTTTTAATGTTCTATTTTCAAATGTTTTTTTGTCCTCTTCAGGTGTGTTAGAACCAGAATGATATAGTTTATCTAAAAACATGCAGCACATTGTCTTTCTGTCTTCAGGTTTTGACTGCAGTGTGCTGCTTGGGGAAAGCTGTGAATGGAACAATCTGTCCACATTGAACAGACAAGTTGTTTTAATTGGGTGCATAGTGATGTGGTTTTGTGTTTGTTTGTATGGTTCTGTCTTGGGGTTCTACAAACTCAAATGGGTGGGATGAACATGTTGAGGGGCATTTTCTTGTAGGTTTTAACTCCTTTGCCTCCTAACCTCACTGTAGGAAACCTAACCCTCTGCCTCCATTTAGCTTTTTTCCAATGATACCTCTGGCCATTTTGTAACTAGACCTTGACAAATAGTCATTGTCTGTCTTATTGATGGGCTTTGACCAGAATTTCAGGGATTTAAAACCTGCCTATCTGGGTGTACATGTCCAATACTAGATCAGTAGATGTTACTAAAATTGACCTCACATGCTTAAATGATGTCTTTTCCAGTGCATTGATGATTGCTGCAGTTTAGTTTACAGTTTCAGTCAGCAAGCCTAGAGCAAACAATGAGCTTGTAAATTCATGACAGAGGCATAGCGGTGGATACTTTACGTCCGTTTTTAGGATTTTTTCTTGGAAAAATGCCTCCTGAGAAGCAAAACAAACAACTTTATAGTGATACTGGTGGGAATCGGGCAACTTCCCAATCCATTACTTGTAGCCCAACATCCCAATCTCCCAGTTCAAATCATTTAATATTGATAACACAAGATTTAGTTACATGGTTGCACAGTGCACAAATAAACTGTGATCTGAATTGAAGCCAGTAAGTTTAGATGAGGTGTCCTTGACTTGTGGCTAAAATGAAGGCACTTATTAATAATGGAGAAAACTAATCAGCCTGTGGAAAAAGGTTGAATGTTGCCTGATGTTGGACAGAACTGTCCACTCGTTACACTCTGTTTCCATCTTCAGTCTGACATTGCATCCACTCTGATTTCCATGGGGGAGGGGGATTCGACTTTCCCCAACCAATCACTAGAGACCAACCTATCTGTCTGAGTGTAACATCATTTTAACATGCCAACATACTGGCTTTGCTGGGGTTTCAAGAGTGAAAGCGGAGAAATATAGTGGGCAATATTGAGAAGACATGTTGTTTAGAGCAGCCTGGATAGCAGCCTTTGTTATATTCCTCATTGGTTCTGGCACACTGCTTGACAACAGCTCGTCAATGATTTTGCTCCCCATGTGGCACTAATTTGATTGTTTATTATTTTAACTGGGAAGCCGCTGTTTTATGTCCCAGTGCCAGATGAAATGAGTCAACTCGAACTCGATGGATTGGGCAGATTAAGAGGTCTTGACCCAGGGAAGGCAGAATGTCTTCTGTAGCCTGTGAAAGCTAACGCAGGATCCAGGCTTTGTGGAGAATGATCCACTCAAGGGTGAGCTGATACCGTAGCCCTTGTTGCCTAAATTTTGACCATTTTTCTTTTGATCTTTTTTGGCAGGTCCCACACTGATTAGCTAGAGTGCATCTAATGCCACTGTATAGACATTTAATCTGTCATTAAATTTGAAAGGAGATGGCATCCATGGAGCACAGCAGGGTCAATTATATAATGAACTGAAGCAATCTAAGGCTTAACGTAACCAGTATAGTTCAGTTCAACTGCAATCAGGCCCAAGATTGATCTTTCTGACCAGCTTGGGACCTCCCCATATCACACAAGGTCACACAAGCAATGTGACAGTCCAGGGATAAAAAATGGACTGGAGTGATTTAATATCAGGCTAAATGGAAGTGCGGACGTTTTGGAGAGCTATTGAGTGTTGTCTTATGAAGTGTGTCCCAGCTAAGTCTAAGCTGAGTCTCATCTGTGTCCCACCTGAGTCCCAGGTATGTCCCATCTGTGTCACAGGTTCGTCCCAGCTTAGTCCCGGCTACGTCCCAACTGAGTCCCCACCTTAGTGGAGCTGCGAGCCTCGTGGCTCTTTTTGGTGACGCGTGTCTTCCATCTGAGCAGTCTGACCAATAATACCTGCAGCAATTGAAATATAAAATCCTTGATGTGGTTGCAAAGTATTTTAGGCCATTTAGGCTAGTTGAATTGGAGAGGGGGGAAGGGGATGTAGTGGTAATTTGTCCATGTTTGTTCTGTTGTGTATAGGATGTGCTTACTCTGTGTATCATGTCCACATGAGCCGTTGTTTGATAGTAATAGTGTGAAGAGGGACTGGGAATGCCTCACATTAGTTTTTTGCTTTTGTTGTTGTTTTGTTTTTTTTGGTCATAAGTGAACTTCACCGGTGGGCTTGAGAAACAAACAAAAAAGGGATGGATTAACTTGTTTGTCTTGCTTCTGATGGCTATGATAGATGCAAGTACACTTTACAGGGGAGTACAGTTTTTTCAGTTTGTCATGTCTGCTTCTCAGTTATTTCTTATTTTGTCACCTCCTGTTCAATTTTGCTTTTAACTATGCATTGAATATGGTTAATCATATCCAACAATGCATCTCTTAGTATGGATTCATGGGAAATCTTTCTTTCCACTCCCACCTTATGACTTTTGTTCCTCAATTGTAATGCTACTGTATTTGTGTATTTTAAAAATGTAAATAAATTAAAAAGTACTTGTATTAGTTGCTTTTTACTGATTGGGCTGGCTGAAATTAAAAGCTAAGAAAATGACATATTTGAGGTGGATTTGTTTATTTTTTGAACACTATCCTTCAAATTGTTACAAACCATCGTCAGGGGACCATAATTATCCATACTAGAATTCATTCTCTGGACACATGAACTACATAACTTGTCTTTGTGAATGGGGATTATAAAAGGGACTTGAATCTGCAGGTGTTAATGGTATACTATGCAGGATTGTCAATTACTGTTGGTAAACACACTCGCCAGTGAAAAGTGAAAGTAAAAGCCAGATTCACTCTAATTCGATGTTTTGCCTTGCTGTATTTCTGTTTTGTTTTTTTTGGCACTGTGTGTCTCTTGGGTGCGTTCTGCTCAAAGTCTGGCACCTTGTCGCTAGATTTTCATAATTCCCCGACCTTACCTAAGCTCTTTGGGAGTACACACCCATAAACAACTCAAACACAAAGTCAGGAAATAAGAAAATCCAGGCAGAAGGCAGACAAATCCATCACCACTCACTGAGAGTAGGTTGCAAGTGATGATTGAGAGGGATTACTTCTGTTTAAGTATGCACATTGTTTTTATGCCTTTGCGCTGGTGATAACTGTGGCCGGAGGCATTGTTTTCAGGATGTCTGTACGTACGTCTGTCCGTTCCATTCTCATGAACACCTTACAGGGAATTTATTCAAATTTGGCACAAATGTCCATGTCTGACTCAACAATGAACTGATTAGATTTTGGTGGTCAAAGGTCAACGATACTATGACCTAGCATCTGTCTTATTCTCCTGAAAGCGATATTTCAAGAAGGCATTAGGGAATGCATTAAAATTTGGCGCAAACATCCACTTAGACTCAAAAATGAACTTAATAGAATTTGAGGGGCAAAAGTCACTGTGACTTCACAAAACGTGAGCCAGTACTCAAGAATTATGCTAATTATGATATATAATACAAACATCCAATAAGATAAAATGATGAAGTGCTGACAACTTCTATCCAAAAGGTCAAAGGTCAACTTCACTGTGACATGTTCTGCAAACACACTTTTCCGACTATTACTCAATGTCCTATCTCAGGAACAAAAGGGGAGACATTTGGTCAGATACTGAATAGGTGACACTAATCTTGGGTGTCCACCTTGAAACAGTGCTGATTGTATAGATCTTATGTGCTGCTGGGGGTAGTTGTGTGTGAAGCATCCATGTTTGCATACACATAAATGAAAACTGTAACTGTTACTTGAATGATGTGCAGAGGCATACAACCACAAGGTGGTAATTACAGGTAAGGAAAATCCTGTATATCTTTAAATACATAAAGCTCAAAACTCATAAAATCACAGCTCCACATGGATGCCGATGTTGATCTGTACAGGGGAAGCTGTTTGCCAACATAACTTTTGAGGTGATTATATATCAGGTGTTAGGTTTTAAGTTTGCTCCATTGACCCCAAGTAACTGAATAATTGGAAGCAGCTGTGCCACAGATGAAGGTGACAGTTGAAGGGTGGAGGCTCATCGTGTCTACAGTGGAAAATAAAGCACTAAATTATCATTCCTATTTCTTTGTTTTCACATTAAGGCCTTGCCCAGTGCACCTGTAATATCAAATACCAATCCATTACAATAATGTTTTGGGCTGCCCAGTGCTACAATAAAATTGTTTTTAACAACAATGACAATCTTACCACTGGGCGGTGCTGTGGGGTAACTGTGAGCACCTGCTGCTGCGCAGCTAGGTCAGTTAAATAACAGGCCATGCATGGTGCTCCTCCCTGCAGGATATCAAGAGATAAGAACGTCCACAGTGAAAACTCCCCAACCAATGAGAGAGAGGATACGTAGTAAGGTGGAAAATAGAGTTTATGGATGGATTATGGTGCTATACATCAATAACATTTCTGGGTGTATTTTTGATTGAATGTTTTATAAAATTAAATGTGTAGTATTATTCCAGGGGGAAATGTCTGTAAGAAGGTGCTGGGATGAGGTGTGTGTGTGTTGGTTATACAGATATGTCCTTGATGGATAATTGCTCAGAACAATCTTAATACACATGGTCTGTATCATTATACTAGAAAATGTTCAAATATTATTGCATAGACAGTAGCACAGTAATAATATCAATCAATCAATCAATTTTATTTATAGAGCCCAATATCACAAATCACAATTTGCCTCACAGGGCTTTACAGCATACGCATATAAAGGATGTAGACAAATATATAAAGAATAAGAATATGTATACATTTATGTCCTTGTTAAACCTCTTCTTTAGACATCTGGGCCTTATTTCAGAAAGCAGGATTAGTGAAAACTCTGAGTAGCCTATGTTGAGCCTGAGATGAGGGAAACTCTGAGTTTTCCATTTCAGAGAGCCAGCTCAGCGAAATCCTGAGTCACTTACCATGGCAACATACTCTCTGATGCAAACCTGCGTGTCGCAGGTAGGAGAAACATGACCTGTCCTTGAGTGAAAGAAGTCGTGGACGTTGGGGCACAGTTTATTCAGAGGCTGTTGCGTAAGGAGGTGATTAGACCCAGTTTGGATGCCTTCCTGGAGGAGTGTCTGTATGACAATTTCACCTCACAGTCTTTCATTTAGGCTATCTCAACAATCTGTTCCGCCCACATATATCAAATATTAGGACATCATGGATTTGCATTATCGTCTGAGCAAATTGTATACACTGCCGCTGTCTCACTGAACACATCAGTGAGACAGCGGTTTGTCGGGCTGTAAGAAAAGTGTCTCTGGCTCTGAAAAGACTTTTGCCCATTTTTTGTGGTTTTCCCTGGGCATAAATCAGAATCGATTATCAAAGTATTTGCAACAGAGTATCGGTGGCTTAGTGGATGGAGCGGATGCTCTATGATCAGACGCCCAGCCCCGATGCAGCGGCCCCCGGGCTCAAACCCAGCCTGCAGCCTCTAGCGCGTCGTTCCCTCTCTACCCTTAACGTTGCTGTTTTGCCATTAAAGGCAACAAAAGCCCAAGAAATAATCTTAAAAAAAGGAATTCCACAGAACTGCAGTTTTTCAGTGTTAATAAGAAATTAATCTTATGGAATGATTCATGAATACTTTTCATATCTGTCTATTCAAAGATTCTGCTGTGTAATGGCTCATTTAGCCTACAGGACTCAACATCATAGCTCCATCTGAGAATAAAAGATTAGGCTACGTGAACCAGAAGTCATTTCACAGCAGTTCAGCAATTCAATGAACCTCAGCCTAATATTGACAGAATGAAGAAAGTATAAGCAAAATTTTTACCAGTCTGTTTAATACGACGGAGTATTAGGGCCACATTAAAGAAAAAAAAATCGGAGATGTCGAGAATAAAGTCGAAATATTACGAGAAAAAACTCGTAATATTTTGAGAATAGTCATAGCTGAGAAAAAGTCATAATATTACGAGAATAAAGTCGAAATATTATGAGATTAAAGTCGTAATTTAACAAGATTAAAGTCATAATATTACAAGAATAAAGTCGTAGTTTTTAAGGAAATAACCAACAACAAACAGAATATCAGATTGTCTTTCATGCCGTTGTAAGTAGCCTAATAATTAGATTCGGGAACCGGCAGCGTGCCGGTTCTGTGTCAGTCCAAACTCTGGGCCCAGCTCTGCCACTGATTGGCCAGTCTGACATTCTTCATAATACATATAGAACGTTAGTGAAACACAAATAGGTCTAACAGAAACATGCGTTTGTTTGGGGACAAGTTAGTGGTCATGTTACTCGTTCCACAGGTGAAGGACCCCGGACACATAGCCTACAGTAAATACACCGGTTGTTAGTAACTTTTAACATACGTGAATCTTTGTGACTCTTGGCTCTTGTCCCCTAACTAACGCTTGTTTCTGTTTCACTAACGATATTTTCACCCCATTAAGTCACATCCCATTATTTCCTCTGTAAACCTAACGTTATATTAATATTACACTAGCCTAAGCAAGGAGATGTTAATCTCTCAAAACAGATTCTGCAATCTACATTGTAGAATCTGTCGGCAGCCCTGTGTGAACGACGACGACGTGGGTGGGGTGGGGGGGGGGGCTTTGAGTTTGAACATGCTGCGCTTTAGCTAATCACAATGGAGGGGGCGTGGCCGACACGTGCAGGCGTCCCCAGGAAATGTGTACCTACAGAAACAGCAAGCTCCGCGTCTATAGCGCGTCCACAGTGACCGCTCCAGTGATGCCGTCTCATCAACGTGAAATTTTTTTTTTTTTTTTTAAGCGGATGTCTGAGTTACAACATGATTGAGATAACTGGAGTAGTTTCATGTTGTATCTGACAACGGGAGGCTTTTAACAGATGATGTCCTGATGTTAGCTTTGCTAACTGTCCCTGTCAGCTGCAGCCACTGATGCTTTCTAGACATCGTGAATTCCCATAACTGAATAAATACCACATAGCAACACAAAACTGCTTTGCTAGCTCAATCATGTTGTAACTAAGATATTCGCTGGAAAAAATATTTTATTCACGGACCGTTTATTGAGTTATTACCTTATTTTTATACAGTCTATGGTTATAGACAACGCTAACGGCTAAAGTTAACAGCTAATCTACGATAACCATATTAATTACGTGCACACAGAAATAGTAACGTTTGTTCAGTCATTGTGTTTATAGACTTAACAAACATCAGATTAGTCTACACGGTGATATAGTGACGTGAAAAATGTGATATATAGCTAAACTCTAAGTATAGCTAAACCCGAAGTATTTGTAAACAACACTAAAGGAAGAATTTATTTATTTATTTATTTTTTTTTTTTTTTACCGATGGATTTCCAGATTGAGGAGATGTTAAAACAGAGATGGGGACAGGAGCTGGCCACTACCGCGGTGCTGAAACTAAATCAATCGATGTCAGGCACATCGATCACCCACCACTATCAGCCATAAGTCACACACAGCCTACTTATTTTTCGTCTTATTATTATTTTTCTTCCGCCAGATTTTGGTGCGTAACTTGTGCCACAGCTCTGAGCGCACACAGGATGCTTAGGCTAGTGTAATATTAATGTGCCTGCTGCGGCTGGATCTGTGAGCGTTTGGTGGCTAAGAAGAGTGTTAAGAGTGGGTCAGCTTGATCTTACAACTGCTTCTTAGTGAAAGATCTCCTTAAGCTAAGAGCGATGTGGGAAACGCGGCCATTATCATGTCAACATACAGGGAAAATGTGTCCAGAGTTTATGACATTTACCGGGAGAGCTAGAGCCATTTGACTAAAGCTGGCGTTATTACTGCTGTAGCATGATGTTATTAGGCTAAATACTACATTTCTAACAGTGTCTGAGCTGATTTATTGACACAGCATGCTTGTAGGCTGCTGTAACGTTAGGTTTACAGAGGAAATAACGGGAAATAACGGGATGTGACTTAATGGGGTGAAAATATCGTTAGTGAAACAGAAACAAGCGTTAGTTAGGGGACAAGAGTCAAGAGTCACAAAGACTCACGTATGTTAAAAGTCACTTACAACCGGTGTAGGCCTATTTACTGTAGGCTATGTGTCCGGGGTCCTTCACCTGTGAAACGAGTAACGTGACCACTAACTCGTCCCCAAACAAACGCATGTTTCTGTGAGACCTATTTGTGTTTCACTAACGTTCTATATGTATTATGAAGAATGTCAGACTGGCCAATCAGTGGCAGAGTTGGGCCCGGAGTTTCGACAGACACAGAACCGGCACGCTGTCGGTTCCCGAACCTAGGCCTAATTATTAGGCTACTTACAACGGCATGAAAGACAATCTGATATTCTGTTTGTTGTTGGTTATTTCCTTAAAAACTACGACTTTATTCTTGTAATATTATGACTTTAATCTCGTTAAATTACGACTTTAATCTCATAATATTACGACTTTATTCTCGTAATATTATGACTTTAATCTCATAATATTTTGACTTTATTCTCGTAATATTATGAATTTTTCTCAGTTATGACTTATTCTTGAATATTACGAGTTTTTTCTCGTAATATTTCAACTTTATTCTCGAAATCTCCGATTTTTTTTTCTTCAATGTGGTCCTAATACTCCGTCGTAGTTTAATATCTTTGTGTTTGATTTTGAGTTTCTGCCCCGTGCGTCTGGGTTCCATCAGATTACAGCTGAATTAGAGGATAAAGCAAATTATATTAAAACATATGAACTCTGTGTAATGTTTCTGTATTTTCTGTAGCCTATAGCCTATTAGACACATTAACACATCACATCACTTAACATTAGGCTACCTATTAACACACTCTGCAGTCTGTTCCCACCACACCTCACGCTGTTTAGCTGCAGCTGTTTTGTTTTTTTCATTTCGCGGTCGTTAAATCTCCGACTCAGTTGGGATGAAACAAGTGTCCTTCTGCTTTCGGCCACTGAATATCGCGTTATTTGCACTCTACAGTCGATGGCTTGGGGTGCTCGCCGTGAACGCGCTTTTCAAAGAGGCCGTTTACATGTTGACGGCTATTTTCATAAACGGACATTTCACCGTCTCTGTTTTCAAAAAGATCTTCGTTTACACTTACCCGTGTATATATACACAAGAGCATGCCAAACCTGTAGGTGGCAATGTAACGAGAAGCTCAAGCCTTCCATGTATCCATTGTCACCATAGCAACATAGGTCGCACTTTTGACACAGGCGCAAGTTCCGGCGCATGCTGTGACGTCGGCTGCCTTAACTCCGTTTATCTCCGTTTATCTCAGTTTACATGCAAACGCGCAACCGGAGTTTTACAAAATCTCCACTCTGGCCGGAGTTTTTAGAAAGACTCGTTTTCAGAGGAGAAATCTCCGTTTGCGTGTAAACGAAGGACACAAACGAAGGAAGATGGCTCCGTTTATCAAAATCACAGTGTGCGTGTAAACAGCCTCTTAGTGAAAACTCTGTTAACCCTTAAATGAGGGAAACTCTGGGGTTTCAGTTCCAAAAAGAGAGGTAAATCAAACTCTGAGTCAATCACCATGGCAAAAGCTTCTCTTTAATCATTTAAGAGTTAAATGAATAATAGAGAGAATTTAGCCTCAGCCTTTTTTTTGTTTGTTTGTTTTTTCCGTTTGGCTTGCTGACAATCTACTGCCCCACACTCCCGTCCAGTAGGTGGCGGTAATGCACCTTAAAGCTGGTTTGCCAACCGCCATTAAAACTCAAAAAAGAAGAAGTTTCACTCCGCTGCTGTGTCGGCGTTGCACTCGGAAGGAACAGTTGTACGCCAAGGCTACTCTATAATCCTTACAGTATTACAGGTAAACAAACATATTAAGCTATAACTTATATTGATAAGTGTAGTAAGTACTTGAGCAGAGCCATGCATGTTGTTGCCAGAGAAACAGAAAGTGTGGGAACTGTTGTGGCTGTGTCCTGGAGCATCGTGTGCTGCATGACTGCTGTTAGCTTTATAGCTAACTTAAACGGCTCCACAGGTCAGATACAGCTAACTAACATTAGTCAGTGGATAATGCTTAGAAGTATTGACCGTAGACAGACAAAGGCAGAAACACTCGAAATCAACAAAAGACGGAGCTGTCGACTTCGCTCTTGCCAATATTAGGGGACAAATGCAAACCTGGCTGAGCTTGCAATATGACGTTAGCTCGAAGATTTTAAGTGTGTCGTGCTTCAACATGTCACGCCAATCTGCCCAAGAGCAAGAATACTAAAGAACACTCGGTAGAAAAAAATAAATAAAATATCAGAGTAGAAGCCACTATTGAACAGTAACTTTAGATACCTGGGGAGGTCCGTGTGTTTACCGGGGGGTAAATATCATTCAAAGTCTTGTTTTTAACTAATGGTAAGATAACCAAACCACACTGTATCAAAATAAAGATCTTTTTCGACTACATAGAAGGTACACGCTGTGGTTGGAGGAAGAGGCGACATACACACACATTTAAGTGCAAGAAAAAGATTCACTACTGTCCTGTGAAGTAAATTATCGCACATTTACAGGAGCTCTGTGCCACATTCTGAGCGTACAGTGCTGCGTTCACGTGCACTGCAGCTGTTTCCGTTTCCCGAGCTTTAAGTGTGTGTGTGTGTGTGTGTGTGTAAGAAAGAAAAATCACACCTTGATGTCTGTCCTGGGGTGAAGTGGGGCAGGGGACAAGCTATGCACACTATTTACAACTTTTGGTTATACAGATATGTCCTTGATGGATAATTGCTCAGAACAATCTTAATACACATGGTCTGTATCATTATACTAGAAAATGTTCAAATATTATTGCATAGACAGTAGCACAGTAATAATATAAAGGATGTAGACAAATATATAAAGAATAAGAATATGTATACATTTATGTCCTTGTTAAACCTCTTCTTTAGACATCTGGGCCCTATTTCAGAAAGCAGGATTAGTGAAAACTCTGAGTAGCCTATGTTGAGCCTGAGATGAGGGAAACTCTGAGTTTTCCATTTCAGAGAGCCAGCTCAGCGAAATCCTGAGTCACTTACCATGGCAACATACTCTCTGATGCAAACCTGCGTGTCGCAGGTAGGAGAAACATGACCTGTCCTTGAGTGAAAGAAGTCGTGGACGTTGGGGCACAGTTTATTCAGAGGCTGTTGCGTAAGGAGGTGATTAGACCCAGTTTGGATGCCTTCCTGGAGGAGTGTCTGTATGACAATTTCACCTCACAGTCTTTCATTTAGGCTATCTCAACAATCTGTTCCGCCCACATATATCAAATATTAGGACATCATGGATTTGCATTATCGTCTGAGCAAATTGTATACACTGCCGCTGTCTCACTGAACACATCAGTGAGACAGCGGTTTGTCGGGCTGTAAGAAAAGTGTCTCTGGCTCTGAAAAGACTTTTGCCCATTTTTTGTGGTTTTCCCTGGGCATAAATCAGAATCGATTATCAAAGTATTTGCAACAGAGTATCGGTGGCTTAGTGGATGGAGCGGATGCTCTATGATCAGACGCCCAGCCCCGATGCAGCGGCCCCCGGGCTCAAACCCAGCCTGCAGCCTCTAGCGCGTCGTTCCCTCTCTACCCTTAACGTTGCTGTTTTGCCATTAAAGGCAACAAAAGCCCAAGAAATAATCTTAAAAAAAGGAATTCCACAGAACTGCAGTTTTTCAGTGTTAATAAGAAATTAATCTTATGGAATGATTCATGAATACTTTTCATATCTGTCTATTCAAAGATTCTGCTGTGTAATGGCTCATTTAGCCTACAGGACTCAACATCATAGCTCCATCTGAGAATAAAAGATTAGGCTACGTGAACCAGAAGTCATTTCACAGCAGTTCAGCAATTCAATGAACCTCAGCCTAATATTGACAGAATGAAGAAAGTATAAGCAAAATTTTTACCAGTCTGTTTAATACGACGGAGTATTAGGGCCACATTAAAGAAAAAAAAATCGGAGATGTCGAGAATAAAGTCGAAATATTACGAGAAAAAACTCGTAATATTTTGAGAATAGTCATAGCTGAGAAAAAGTCATAATATTACGAGAATAAAGTCGAAATATTATGAGATTAAAGTCGTAATTTAACAAGATTAAAGTCATAATATTACAAGAATAAAGTCGTAGTTTTTAAGGAAATAACCAACAACAAACAGAATATCAGATTGTCTTTCATGCCGTTGTAAGTAGCCTAATAATTAGATTCGGGAACCGGCAGCGTGCCGGTTCTGTGTCAGTCGAAACTCCGGGCCCAACTCTGCCACTGATTGGCCAGTCTGACATTCTTCATAATACATATAGAACGTTAGTGAAACACAAATAGGTCTAACAGAAACATGCGTTTGTTTGGGGACAAGTTAGTGGTCATGTTACTCGTTCCACAGGTGAAGGACCCCGGACACATAGCCTACAGTAAATACACCGGTTGTTAGTAACTTTTAACATACGTGAATCTTTGTGACTCTTGGCTCTTGTCCCCTAACTAACGCTTGTTTCTGTTTCACTAACGATATTTTCACCCCATTAAGTCACATCCCATTATTTCCTCTGTAAACCTAACGTTATATTAATATTACACTAGCCTAAGCAAGGAGATGTTAATCTCTCAAAACAGATTCTGCAATCTACATTGTAGAATCTGTCGGCAGCCCTGTGTGAACGACGACGACGTGGGTGGGGTGGGGGGGGGGGC